TAAATCAGCTGTCCCATGAAACCATTGTTTACCAGGCCCCTGATCGACTAAATGAACAGCCATCTTTCTTTCTTTTTTATTGACATGTGCCTTTCCTGCTGTGCCATGTCAAAACATCTTCTGTTGAAATGTCCTATTTACTGACAGCGACAATAGGTACACATCACTGAACTTTAGAAAACGTTACCTTTGCCTTTCTGCAGGTTCTTATGAGCCTCATCAAACAGACCTGGCAGGTGTATCACCACCCCGTTGCCTGTAACAAAAATATTAGATTTCAAGATTGTTTACCAACCCACAATGGAAATAACTCAACATGCCAACTCTTCAGCAACAAGACTGCTCCTGTTTTCCTTGAGCTTTTATTTTTAACCACACAAGCTATCTTGTTACGGATCACTTTAACCCTCTGAGACCCACATAGGACATTTCTGTTTTTATATATTTTGTGTTTTGCCTTATAAATTGTCATTTATTTGCGGTATAATCAAGTTTTACACATCCCATAAATCAGCTCAACCTCAGACAATGACATGTCACTCATTAGAGACTTATACACACTATAATGGGGGATATTTGCCCATAAATAAAAAACGTTGTGTTTTCGCGTGTGGAATTATACCGGCTCTGGTTTCAGTACACATAACAACGGAACTGACAGGCAACCCTCTGAATCAGACTCCGATTGGCTCTGGCTGCATCCACTCAGAGTGTTCGATTCAGAAACGTGACTCTTACACTCTTTACGTCACAAACAAAGATGGTGGATGAGAATAGATCTATCAAAACGATAAGCAATGCGCCAGAATCAAGGTGAGACTACTATCCGCATCTTTTAAAACTTTACGCACATTCGCTTCACCGAAATAAGTAAACGCCTCTCAATGAAAAACTTAATGGAGTTGTTTATTGCTGTTTCTGTAGTTTAAGAGGAAACACACGGCATGTCTCTGGCTCAAACAGCTGAGAAGTTATGACACAGTGATATTGGGTTGGTATACGCCCCGTGGGTCTCAGAGTTAAGAGGAGTTCTTTTTTTGCTTCCTCTTTCCATGTTTTCATCATACTGGAAACAAATCGACTAAAAAGAGGAAATGCAAAATGGAGAGAACTGTGTTTCCTTTGTGTGTTGAATGTAGCTGTTGTGCTTCGGGCAATCATTTCAATTACCATTTGATGAGTATTTTTAGTCCCTTACGGGCAATTTGTGTTGATTTCTTCTATATGTACCGGTGTGATACAACAAAGCAATACAAACTACATTAAAGATGGTTCTGTTGAAACTGTTTTGGAGAGGTGTTGATTCGACAATATGATCATTTTGGAGGCTTACGTTTGTATTGCTGTTGAACTTAGGGTGTTTCTATTATGTACTCTAGCCTTATTGATATAAATATATTAGAAACAAAATTAATGAATGAATCAACACCAATCTAGATCATTTCCAATACAAACAAATACAACAGTAGACTTATGTAAGGTAGGATTTCTTGCAGCGTTGGCAGTAGTTGTTAGCTATACACAACAACACTTCATATCGCTTCTGATTTCTGCCCTTATCTCGGTCATATACTTTAGGGTCCTTCTCTCCGTGTGAATTATAATCCTTAAAAATACAACACAAGGATGGTCTCGTACCAATGAAGGAGGTGGCATTCTTGTTGAGCACTCCGCTGGGCAGCAGGTGGAAGTCGTACTCCACAGAGTCCACCACCACCGTGTGACCTGCATTGTTGCCTCCCTGCAAACAGAACATTCACAGAAACCATCAACATCGAGGACAGTTGAAGCTTCATGGTCTTTTTAAACACTTCAGCCTGTGTTCTGAGAACAGGGTCACAATCAGAGGTGGGAGAAGAACTCCTGTGAAAAAGTACTCAAAGCAAATTGGCCATTTTCCAAATGATATATATGATATGTTTTGATTATAATCATTGATGGGTTATATTATATATAATATACATTGAAAGGGTTATTAAAGCTGGTGAAGGTGCAGCTCATTTGAATGACTTTGGATGCTGCAGGGTAGAATGTGAATATTACTCCAGGTGCAACTAAAGTCTGATTTAAGTGTTGAATATAATTCAAATCATTAATGAAAATCTGCAAAGTAACTACAGGTATGCAATGAATATAGTGGATTAAAACCTCACTATTTACATCTGAATTGTCTTGGGGTAGAAAATACAAAGTAGCAAACACTGAAGTAAAGTGAACAATTGCATCAAAATTGTACTTAAGAACAGTGCTTGAGTAAATGTACGTGGTTACTTTACACCACTGGACAGCCACTGCATGTACAGAGTTTCCCCAAAAATAATGCTCATGTCGCTGGCTTGACTGCAAAGAGGTAGCGGAACAGCCGGGCCGGTCAAACTGTTACATAACGTAGCATTCACTGAATAAGGTTATCAGTATCTGGAGGTCATGTGCTGGATTCAGTTAACATTTTATCAGCACGGAAAATGAATAACATCCGAGCAGTTCTCACTAGCATACATTTACATTTCTACATCCGGGAGGTCAGGCAAGGTTGTTGGCGTCGGAGCCCAAGACCCCAGGAAGTGCGCCGGAAAGCGAAGCATATTTTCGTAGTGGCCAAACGATTGTTTCCTAATTGGGAAAGAGACGTCTGTAAATCTGCGGATATTTTATTTGAACTAAATGAACTACCCAGAACGAACACGTATATGGCCTTTATCTGAATCATTATGGTCTAAGAGTTATTTTCCCTTATTAATCTGATTGAGCCGAGAGCGGGAGGTCGGAGGCGGGGCTTGAGGAAAACTCAAGTGCGCATGCTCTATGAGCCCACATACGGGTACTTTAGCTTAACGTTGGCTTCATACACCAGTTAGCAATTCTCATAGGAATGAACGGGGTCCCGCCTCCGAAGCTGTATCCAGTGCAATACATCCATGTCGGAACCCCGTCATTAATATTGAGCTAACGGTGGCTAAACGGTTGCTACCAAACTTCCGTGTTCCTGTAAGCGGACGTTTTTACTAACACCACAGTTGTCTGGAGAAGCCAGTTTCAAGCATATTATGACGTTTAAAAGACAGTGTAGTGGGGTACCTGGCACCTGCATACAATATGCGCATCCATGGCGAGCAAGTCCACAACTTTCCCCTTGCCCTCGTCGCCCCACTGCGCTCCGAGCACCACGGTCACTTTGTTGAGAGGCTCCTTCGGGACGCGGAGAGAGGGTTCCTGCGCGACGCTTTCCCGGGGCCGCTTCAAGACCGGCTCCCCGTTCAGGGGGACGGGCTCTCGCCCGTTAACGAGGTTAGCCATGGAGCTTTTGTCGGATGCCATGCTGCTTCTGCCCTCCTGCTACAAACCGGAATATCGTTTTACCGCGTTTCTCTGCGTCACGGGAAGTGCTGGTCGGCGGTGTCACCGCTAGATGGCACTGTTTTGCTTTTATGTCTTCCGACTTTCAAAACCCATATTTTGTATTTATTTATCTATCTATTTATTTATAATTCTTATTTCCTACTTTACTTTACTTTAATACATCAGAACAAGATACATCACACCAGTGTTCAGTAAATGAATTCAAACGGAGGGCATTATGAGGAGGTCAATCAGTAATTCAAGTGTGTAGAAATTGGTAAGATTGTTGGGCTTTTAAAAAAACGTTTGCATCATTTAATTCATTTTTATGTATGTCATTAAGAAAACCAATAAATACTGGAGACATTTCAAGGAAGCGACATTTGTCGATGAAATATTTTGCTAATAAAATCAAATTACTAATTTTAAATTCATTTTTTTGGTTTTCAAATTCAAGGCCAAATGTTACATCATCTAAGATTGGAATGTTTTCTCATTGTAAGTGAACCCATACTGGAAAGCACCCACCAAAACCCATCTATTTAGGAGCAGTTTTTTTAATTTATTGTCCCTACAAATTTGTTGTGCTGAATCTAATAAATTCACGAACACACATGGGTTCTCTTTAACTAGATGTCTTTGTTCTATTGATTTATCAAATACAGACTCGTGCTGATGAAGAGACAGCACCATTTAAATAGAGTACACATATATAATGCTGTTTCGCACCTCCGCCTTTGCTTTAATCCTACAGAAAGCCCAGACTGTAGAACTTGTGTTATGTCTGAGAATCATTTTTCGAACAATACTTTGTAAGAGCTTAAATGCATTATCAGACAAAGAAAGCAACTGCATTTCTTTAAAATGTGGCAGTTCACACATTTCTCCTGTTGGTTTACTGAAACATTTATTTGATAAATAAAGACTTTTGAAGACTTTTCTTTTTGCCGCTGCTTTTAATTGAACTATTCATATCTTAAACTGCACTGTAACTTTTATTCATGTATTTTTTCTTTTAATGTTTATTTTATTATCTTTGCTTTTTAATGATCGTTTTTAAATGCCATTTTCTTAATGTCTTTCATTTTTGTGAAGCACTTTGAATTGCCTTGTGTTGAAAGGTGCTATGTAAATAAACATGCTTTGCCTTATAAGAAGGATTCTGAATGATGTTGGTGATTTTTTGATTGAAAATAACTTCAATAACTCCACTGTTGTACATAAAGTGCTACCAAACTCCCGTCACACATTAACGGTCTCCTGTTGATAACACTTACTGTGGAGTAATAATGTAAATGCTTTATTTCAAGGATAATGTGACTTTTGTTTGCATTGTTTCCAACACATAAGATTCTTCATACCATTTGCGAGAGCGGATTTATTTGTGTGCACAAATGTGTGTGTTTGATGATTGACAAACTGTCTGAAGTGATTGGACCAGAAATATGACCTTTATGTCTCCCTCTATTGTCTCCATGTATTTTTGAGACGCAGTTTACTTAGGATAAAGTAAAGCAGCAAGAATGTTATCTTCAATTGATAATAAATGTATGCTTTTTCATACAGGTCAGATAAGGTCCCAGAATTGCGATCACAATTGCATCTGCCCATTGTTGCACATCCACAAAGCACGTGAAGCACACACACAAAAGTACAAGTTGTCATAGATACTGTTTTTCCAATATACATATATTTCATGATGTTCATCAATATAATAAGACATTGATAGATTTACACTACAATTATTTTATGTACTTTTAGTTTTTCATTCAGTCTCCTCTTCTTTACGTTGAGTCAGCCTTGTTTAATTTCTAATCCCATACCAAATGACAGCACAATAAATCTATCAATAAATAAAAGCAAAGGGGGGAAAAAAGATCAAACGTAGCACATTGCCCATGATCCTCCAGTCTTGTCCCTCCTGAAAGTCCAGAAGACCAGGGGCAATATGGGCCTTCATTCAAGAAACCCAAGTCCCAAAGATAAATCAAAATCGTTCCTCAAAAATAAACCGATTTAAACAAAAAAGATATCTCATAGATACAAACAGCAATCTGATGTAAACTGTAGAATCATTCTAAGCATTCTGGACAATTTAAGGTAAAAATACTTTTTTTTCCCATTGACTTCCCATTTTCTTTACCTTTACCCATCAGTGTTTACATACAAACAGTTCAGTGACATCTGGAGTTATTACTTAATTGATGCGAAAAGAAAAACACAATATTTGGTTTGAAAATAAAACATATATTGAGTAGAATATTGTAACATTATAGCAATCCAGTGAACATTCAGAGACTCAAAAGGTTCCCTCCCATTGCTGCATTCAAGCCATTTGGGGGGGGGGGTAAACGTTGCTCTGTACGTTTACACGGGTATAACTCAAACTTTCGTAGATGGTCTGCACACTTTTTTTGTGGTGTTGGCCATTTCCAATTGCCTCCCAAATGACACGAATGCAGCGTTTAAGTTTCAATGAACAATTCTTGAGGTTGACAAAAGACAATATTCTCCACAGACTCATGTTCCCATCCCACCAAAACGGATAAACCACAACAAAAAAAGTGCCACGGTGTTAAAATAGATACGCACTCCTTTTCGAACAGACAGTAAAGTAGCGGAACAAACGAGAGCACTCACTTCATTTTCACCACTGTGACCAAATGTGTTGAGCACTCAACCGTTGGATCCATGGATAACACAGAAGTCCTACCCCAATCAGTAGAGTTATTTCACTTCAGCCCACTGTGTGGTTAACTACTGCATGATGGCTAAAAGGACCACATTTGTAACCCTATGGTGATGTTCTATTGCCGAAAACCCAATTTTACACTTTGCTAATATAGTTTTGTCCTCATATATATTTTGGTAAATTGCTAATACCTTAAACCTGAGGATATAGGACCCCCTACCCCCCAAAACACCCCCATATTACAACACCAAACAATGCAGATTTTTTTTAAACGTTTTTCTAGGTTTATTTTTAATAGCTATAGTTAGTTTATGTCTTTTCATTTTAGAACTTGGCAGCACTATGGAGACAAAAGAAGAAGAGTTGTGCTATTATTAGTTATAGGATCATGGGTCGGAATATTTGTTACGGATTAAAGAGGCTCTCCCGGGGCGGACTGTATTTGAGATTTGAAGCACTCGGCCCTTGTGTTTTGGTTTAACTTGCATATTAGAATGGCACACTCACAAGCCAAACTGACACACCATATAAATAGTGTGTAAAAGGTCCTGTGATCTGTGGATAAATCGGGTATAAGCTAGTTCAAACAGACTTGTATAGTTAGGATAACCTGTTTCTCTCCGCTTGTTTTTGATGGCAATTGGCAGCGTAAGCATGGAAATCTGGTCTTTGGTAATCTTCTGCAGTTTACTTTTGCTCTGTCGGGAGGGGGAGGAGGGGGTTTGCTAAGGTTAGGGTCCTAATAGAATGGCCGGCAGATCTGCGACCTGTCTACTTTTGTACTTTAGTGGTCAAGGAAACAACGTGCACTCACTCTGAGATTTAAGCGGCCTAATCTGTCGGGATAAACTAGGGATATTCCCCACACAGAGCTATTCTAACACACACACACACACACACACACACACACACACACACACACACCACACCACACCACACCACACCACACCCACGCGCACACACACACCCACGCACACACACACTTTAGGATTCTGAATCAGTAAGTAAGTTGAGCAAAAGGGGGGCAGGTTGGTCTACTCAGCTGGTGAGGAAGGTAAAAAGTCATGTTGAAAAGAGACAAGGCTACTAAGGCTTTACACACACGTTTTGAAATATCGTAGTGTTTTTTTAAAATAGTTTTCCAAAGACTCTTGTCCATCATTTGAGTTTTTTTTACAAGGACATTAGTGGCAGTAGGAGCATGAGCTGAGTTGCTTCCTGTTCAGTATGTATTAATGCACACTTAAAAATCCTCTGTTTCATGAGACAGAAATGTTATAGAATAAGTGATTTCCAATGTTTTTAAGGTCTTAGATTAGATCTTAAAATAGCTTCAAATCAACACACTTGTATGTGTAGGTTTATATCATCTTGTATACATGTGTACAAGGCCTTAGTTTGACTCTTAAAAACCAGGCGCATCATGTTTCCTGCTCAAGTAGCCTACAAGGTAGAACACACAGGAGTAGATGCCGGAACATGTAAAACAAAAAAGGTTTTTTAAGACTAGACCAGCGAGGGCACCAGTGAAAGAAAGAATTGCAATAAGAATAGAAGCCTCTCCCTTGTTGCTTGGCAGTGTATAACGCACAGAGCTGAATTACAAAAAACACACCAGACAGAGGTAAAGAGGAGCTCACTGCTGTTGGCAGCAGATAGCACTGATTGCACACTTCCTCTTTACCTGTCTGTATCACACAAAAATATACTATAATAAAAATAGAATCTATTATATTTAAAAAAAGAAAAAAAAGGCCTTAACTATAGGGAGAAACACTGAGACAGAACCACTGCGCTAGCACGACACTCGTCTTCGGAGTGCTACTTTTATATATTTTTTGAATAATTGCTTCTCACGTTTCTTGTCGCTAAACCTTAGACAGTAACACTTCTGAGCCTACCCCGAAGTTGCTGACCTAAAACTCAACTGTGAATCTGACATTTTCCTCATTCACCTCTGTCCCTGTTTCTGGATTTGCAAATAAGGCTGAATTGTCTCTTTTTTCTATGTGCTCTTCAAGTGGAGAGGTTTTGCTGCACGAGGATCTCCTTTGGCCAGGCTATTGACCAGCCAGACAGCGCCATCAAAAACAAGGTTGTTTGTGCATTTTAAACAGATTCCTTTTTTTACGCAGTCAGCCACTCCTCCACCGCGCAAGGGTATGTTTGACTGGAACTCTTCTACAGTAACTAATAGAAGTGACTGGAGACGCTTTTCAGTGTCCATGTAAGTAATGGGCCAATCAGAATGAACATTTGCTGTATGGATTTTTTTTCATTTATGCATCGGCCCAATTTGATCTCCTTGCATTTCAAGCCCATATCCACACGAATGACATCTCCACAGTATACTGTAAGTGTAATGTTAAGATGACACCACCCATATTACAAAACATAATCATTTGGACAGATTGAAGGTCTGATCCAAAACTGACCCTTACAGCTATTAACTATAACTATTATTCTCCTATGTTTTGTATGACCGACGTTATAGACACGAGTTCCGTCGCACGTTTTTTTTTTTAAAAGATACTTACACTTACATGTGCTACGGTAAGACCATTTGCACTAGACTGCAATGAAGGAATGTTTTCGAAATAAGACACTACGTAATATTTAAATAAAAAAGAAACATCTACAGACATTGGTCCAATCTATGGCAGTTTAGAAATGATCAGAAGAAATTGACGTGTTCAAGCATGCTGACAGACAGAAGAGGGTTAGGGCGATGAAGATGGAAGGTGTTAGAGGAGCGAAATGGAGAAAGAGAACACAGATTCTGGGAGGATGGAAAGGGCTGAGAAATGATGATGAATACTAGGGATTAGTTTAACAATTCATGCATTACTTGTAGGTTTGATCAATATCAGTGAGCAAAGAAGCTAAGACTTTAACATCAAGTTATAGAAATCTGGGGAAATCTCAAGGGCAGTTTTGTCTGTGTTATAGCCCACTTTTCTGTAACTTGATGATATTTCCTAACACATTTTAGATCTCCGACTTATGTTGGTCTTTCTAAGTGGACACGAGTAACACGGGTGAACTCTAACATAAAATAATATTTCCATCGTGAAATGGAGACGAACTCCACTGTGCAAAAATACACCAAAAAGAGAGAGTAAGCAGGGGACAGACGGATGATGATAACATGCAAGATACACACTTTGATTAATAGGCAGTAGTTAACGCTGAAGCATACGTAAAATTAATACAAAAATTAAAAAATACAAAATGCACACACACACGCACACACACCTACAAAACAGTATATATCAGAATAAAACTCTACAAAGAACTATATATATCAGTTATGTAACAATTATCGCCAACCGTTGTTTCCTTTTCTGTTGTTGCATCGTCACAAGTGTTTGGTTCTCAGTATGGCAGGTTAGAAAAGCCAAGAGGACCCAGAAAGGAGATGGGGCCACACACTCACAGGACAAATATTGACGAGGGTCCAGAGGCGAGGTTGTGGAAGAGGGGGAACCATGGGGCCCTGAAGGTTTAGGGGGGTTATATCGAGGCTATTCGGGAGATATATATAATAAATTATGGTTAATTTTGTGATCAATTTGAGGGTTTCTTTTCTGTTGCAAGGAAAAATTAGACTGGGGTAGGAGCGATTCTTCTTAGGTGCTGAAGTACACTGTAAGAAAAGAAAGAAAGGAAAAGGAGTGTTTGATTCATACTCTGTAAAGTAATGCATAGGTCACCAAACCAACATTTGCTAACAACTTACATTGTCCTGCCTTATATTATTCAACATGTAGGTGTACAATGAGACATTTCGTTTTACAGTTGATTAAAGGGGATTAATCATTCTCATTTTTTAGGTTCATGTATATTGAGTTGCTAATAGAACATGTTTATATGCTTTAATGTCAAAAAACACATTTTAGTTATCAATTTGTCTGTCTGAGTATACAGGTATTCACCATTTGTCTGAAACGCTCTGTTTTAGCACCTGTCTCTTTAAGAACCCCTGTAAAGCTCTAATAGGCTTGCAAAGAAAATAGGCCACACCCATAGAAACAGCATGAGAGTAGAACAGATATTGAACCCATTTGACTAGTTCAAAGAAAAATGGCACTCCGACTCTGATTTGCCAATGGAAATAGAATGAGTTGCCCATTTTTATTACAGTGTTCTTAATATAGTTCACTATCTGTGTACTTTTTAAAGTCTTTGTTTAAAATGTTATGTATGCACCATTACATCAAGTCAAATTCCTCGTACGGCAATAAACCTGTTTCTGATTCACCTCTCACAGTTCTTTGCAATAAATGGCCGCTGCTCTGACCATCCTGCTGCCTTGATTCAAATGTCTGTTCTACTCTATTTCTATAGGATTTTCTTAGCAATGATAGTTCTCTAGCCTTAGTGGCATTACTGAAACAGATGGGGCGGTATATTCTTATGAGCCTGCACATCTTAATGACTAGACAGCCAATGAGAAACTGACTGGGTTGTCTTATTTTACAGTTTGTGCCTTGGAAGGCACATGTTTTCGCACAAGCAATGAAAAAACATTTTCATAACATGTGAAGTCCATTGAGATTACAAATCTGTGTTGATTATGGATGGTTTCTTACCAACAATGACGATGAGGACAATCAGGCATATCACACCCAGGATAATCATCATCTGTAGTCAGGGGGTTTCAGAAAAGTTCATTAGAAAAGCAGTCAAAATGGTCATTTCTTTCGGATAGTATTTGTATCTAAACACAGTCATTTCATCTGTTTCTGTCTTGTTAATAAATCATAATTATTGTTCTCATCTGTCTGTAAACAGGGAAGCTTAAGGCTGCTTTAATAAGCAGGCACTTGCTATTCGAGTAAGCGTGCCTGCATGATCTCACCTTGGCATTCTTCCACCAGTATTTATTCTTCAGTTTAGCAGCGCTGGTCTCAAACTGAGAGGCTCCAGCCTGCAGGGCGTCGGCCCTGTCGTCCAATTCTGACAGCTTCTGATCACGCTCCAGAACCTTATCCACGTTTACACGCATGATATCCACCACCTGGGGAGAGACACCAGATAACCATGTCGATTATTCAAGTTTTACATCAAATCATGTTGAAATGTGTATTGATTGTGAGCAATAAGAGAAGATTAGATTACCAACAGGTGACTATTGAAATATGTTTAAAGCGTAAATGTTGTCACAACATGTCTTTGGGTTTGAGGAGAGGTGTTTACTCACCTCATCCACCTGCGCCTGCGTCTGCTGCAGACGACGGTTGCTGGTGAGGTTGGGGGGCTGATTCACTCCATCAGCTCCAGGGGCTCCAGCTGGGGCAGACCTAATGATACAAAACATTTAAAGAATCAGTGGTTATATTAAGCTTCTGCAACAAGATATGACAGTAGGTTTCCCATGTGTATTCTAATACAGAAGACACATCCAAGGTAACAAGAATGATATCAGTTTATTAAACTTAAAGGTGGGGTAGGTCATTTTGGAGAAACCAGCTCGAGTGCGCTAGAATTTGAAAATACACAGCGGGAAAAAATCTACCACTTCCTGACAGAGCTCCTCCTCCAACACACACGAACGCGCACATGACCAATGAGGGCATGCGATAAGTGTGTGCACAGATGGAAGGCTGACAGGCAGGTAGGCCATCCAGTTACTTTAGCTAAAGTGTATCTCGAGCCGGTTTCTCAAACGTACCTACCCCACCTTTAATACATTTTTACATTTAACCATATCTTAAATGTTTGATTTTCTAATTGTTCACAAGAAAGCTCATTTGATTGGTTCAATGTTTGATTAGGTGTCTTACTGTGCCCTTCCTAAATTACAGTTTCAGAGTAAAGTGCTCATATACTGCAATAAAGATTTCACATCCAATCACACCCTATGATCAATCAAGATATGTACCTTGCAGCCTGCATTACAAGTCATGCTATATCCTTTTGAAAAGTGTCTGATAGGAATCACATGTATTATGTTGTCTTTGAGGCGGTATGTGGGAAAACAAGCTACTATGTGAATGATAGAAATGTGTTGGGTTAAGACGATTCATGTTAACCATGTTTCATACAGTGACACATAGGAAAGATTACTATATGAGAATTGTAAATGTATGTGTGAAATGTAGCGATGTGATGTGTGTCCATGATGTCACTAGAATTGGGTTTATGACTGTATATCAATACATGGGTACCTTGCCCCACTCCTGCTCTATGATATTTGATAACTGTTACTCATACGTATGTTAGCAAGGGGCTACAAATGTTAATGTGTGGTGCTTCCAAATATATCATTTGAGCGAACTGGTTGTTGTTTTGAAATGACTGAGTTAGTATATTTGCTCACAGATTGTGGGATGTAGCTGTGGATCGAACATTACCTGGAGCTAACAGATGACGGCAAAATCATGGAAACACAAGATCTGCTGCTTATGAAAGATATGGAAGATTGCACCCATTTATGTTGGCTTTTGAGATTCAAGTTAGAATCAGATCTCATTTGTAGGACGTTAGATTTTCTGAGTTTGAATAACGAAAATATCTGTGTGTAAGCGCGAGAGCCCAGCTAATGACCTACTTTAACAAAGATAATTGACTACCACGCACCACTAATGACCTCAGTGAGAGAAAGGCAGTGAAAGCAAGAGCGGCATTTACATTGAAAAGTGAAAGAATGTCTGGTCATTATGTTGACACGTACTTGTTTGCAGCAGGAAAAACACATCACCACAAATATTCAAAGTATACTTGGTATATCTTTATTTCTTGATTCTCAACCGGTTCCATCGAGGCCCCTGTTGGTGATTGTGTACATCTTACATGATAGAATAACAAACTGTGTTGAGTGACAGCAAAAACCACAGACCATCAAAAAGAATCATGTTTCAGCTGAGGGACAACCTACCTAAATAAACAGTATTGGTATCATTGCCCTATTAGTCAGATTCAGGAAATATGCATACATAAAGAAACCCTAAAATCCAGTGCATCTTGACATTGAATGTTGTCTCATCTCTAAAGTGAAAATGGAACCCTGCATATCACTACAGCAAGCAGAAAAACCGTGTGATATTCTGTGTCCATATTAATGACGTTATATCATCATGTAATTCCCTCAAACATGATGACACTTCCTATAGCAGGCTAGCAGCAGATTGATACATTAAAAAACAAATGAAGAATGTTTAAAATACTTCAATATTTAATGAAGTAGTGGAGTAGCCCAGCAGGCTACATTCTGCCAGCTTTATTGCTATCTATCTAGCCGGAGTAATCAATACATTAGACAATGAAGCAGTTTCTAAAATTAGAATGTGAGATTGATTAAGTCTGTAGTATCTCCTGGCAAAGTAACCTTGGTTGTAACTCAGTGTGAGAAAGAACTCTGTATAAAGGTCACCTTTACACGCTCACACATCACTAATCCTCTAACAACAACAAATACCTTTCAATAGGGCCCTGATGGTGCCGGTGGTCCCTGTCGATGCCAACCAGCCCTAATAGAAACCCACAATGTGAAATACACAAGGCTGCTTGCAGTGTACGGGAGGATTTCTATTATGAATTTCAAATGAAGATATACTTCATGTGTTGGATGAAGAATGGTTGACATTCCCTGCCTATACATTACACTCTATCGCTTCGATGTAATCACAGTGTGGTTCGTTTCACTTGTCTGCAAAGATTATTATCACCTCTGAACTAACACCTCAACCAACCAGGACCAGTCATTATTGCACCGACAACATGTCCCCCCAGGCTCCACTTCCTGTGAACTCTGCCTACTGGGTTTGATGGAGGGCAAACTGGGTGTTCCTAGACGGGTGTTTTGTAACTGTTTTAATCCTTGCCACTTTGGTGCTTAATCCTTACTTGAACATGATAAACTGAGGGTGGTCTCTATATGCTCCACCTATGGCATATGTAATGGTGATACCACCACCTCTTTATTGATAGATGTATTGATTACAGTGATATGTTCAGAAGATATTGGTGATCAATAAAGCCTGTTCAACCTATTTCCCTTGATTCAAAATCTCAACCACCATTAGGCCATAGATGCCCATCTTTTGACAAAGAAATCTGCCTACCTGCTGGTCAAATTGCACGTGGAGGTAGCATAATAGACATAGCATAATAACACATCACAATAAAGGTTAAACAACAGAACAGTAATAATAGGAATTAACCTTTGAAACATAAAAAAGATTCATGTTTGTCATGAAGATGAAATAATAAAAATGGCTCCTGCGACACCTGTGCAAGGTTTAAGGACTCACTGATATAATGGTGTATCTCATTTTACACACCTTACATTTACATATTTAGATAAAATATCATAGCATCATTTTTTATTTGATTATTTTTATGTGACACTAGCTACTCTGTTCTTTGACCCTGAGAAATAATGTTTAGAAAATGCATAATTTGCTTGGTTTCAGATATTATTAAGAATATATGTTATGTTTGTCAAAGGGTGGCAAGCATAAACAGCTGTCTTTCTATGTTAGGCGGGTTTCTTTGACAAGCCCTAAGGTTTTTTTTGTATTCCACCTGTGCATTGTCTTAGGTTCTTTTATTATGTAACCTTGTTTCTTTCCTCATCATACGCACACACAAAGACATAAAGAATGGATTTCTGTTTGTTTGCTAACTGTCATGGGAAAAGCACCCTGTCTGACTTTGAGCACTGGAGAGCGACATTTCAGCACTGGACAGCGCCTCAGCAGCCAGACCAGAAGCTGTCTGATCCAGCCTCACTGTCCCATTCTGTCTGATGTCTCTGAACCTGACCCACACAACACTCACTTTCTCCCCTGTCTGACTGTATACAGGGACACACAAGGCATACATAACGTCCTGTAACACATCACGACGAGGCCTGTAAATACAGTGCAAGCCTACAACATAGAGGGCGGGGAGCTTCCTTATATGGGGGGTTGGATTTCAAACACTTGGATGAAAAAATACAACCAACATGTCGGTGACAAATGTAACATACAGCCCACAGAGGGAGCAGACATGTCGCCCCAGCTCAATGACATGTCGTGTGTCGGCAGCAACGTTTTAACACAAACTGACAGGTGAGGTTGTCACGGCTCTTCTTTCCTACCCCATTCATATAATTGTACAAAACAAAAGGGGAGAAACAATCGACAGGGAGGTGGACATTTTACAGGTTCCATTTCCCCCTGAACTCTGCCTGAAATATGGTGAGATATATAGCTGTACGCCCTCGCACGACAATCGACGACATACAGTAGGAGGCTAGGCTATCCCCACCCCCCGCTGTGGGTTGCAAATATCACGTAAACTAGGCCTAAGCCTACTTCAGAGCTAATAATATAATCGTCTATAAGCAGGTCTTTGGAGTGTTCGTCGAATAATGTCGACGCGATAAATGTTCAACCTGGTGCCCTTGCTGTTTCTTGAATTAGCTTAATCGTCACCTGTGGTTCAGCGAGACTCAGAAAGAAAAGGCCTGTAAATGTTGAGTAAGGACAACAGGGTTTTTGTACACGGTGTATTCTTCATGTGGTTTTAATTAGCCTGTGGGTAATCGCACACATACGGTGTCCTTTCAAACTAAACCAGTCCAAACTGGAAAAGATGCGCGCGTGCTGGCTCCGGTCGGCGAAAAGCACGAGACGGTTAAATAAAAAAAGGCACGCGACAGACAAAGAACTAGTTTATCGTGTAAAAGCCGAACAAATAAGCTTATAATGTGTTTAAAGGCGATACACCCTCCGTATGCTCCAAGGTTAGGCCGACGCTTTAGCCTCTACATTTTACGTTCGGATCATATTGGATAAATAACAGGTGTAAAATGAAATTCAACAGCAGTATTTATCAAAGATATACTGACTAACGTGAGACCTTTTACATAGCCCCTGTATTTAATGGAAAATACACACAAGAGACCATTCAGACATCATTAATCCCACGTAGCCTGACAACATCCGTCGTGAGGACGATATTCATTAATAAATTAGTATTTAGAAAAAAAGAGTGCCTTAACGATGTTGTACTCACATTTTCCTGGTTGTATTGGCTGGACAGCTGTGCTGAAATCCGGACTGGAAATGTAAGCGCTTAGTAAGTGGCTGGCTGGCAGATGGATGTGGATTGCCTTCTGCGCTCCTCTCTACCCTCTGGCTCCCTTTGGTTGGTTATTGTGCCGTTTCCCTGCCTATATAGCCTAGGAGGAGCACTGGCTTGTATCTGTACAGACTGAGATGCGTTTCCTCCTCCCTATAAAAAGCTATTTTCCTCTTCCTATTTCTACGGCCGATGAGGCACCTGCAGGCTAATTCCGGAGCCCGGCGCTGTCAGAGTCCGTGCAGTAATGAAGGAGTAATACGGAGCCGCCTGGATTAGGTGGACAAAGATGGCTCAGTGACGTCAATCGCGGCGAGTTTCATGTTGAAATGGGTGACCACCGGAGACTTCAAACACACCGTTTTATCGCCCAGAACAGCACCGTTTTATATATTTAAGTGGTTAAGGGGACTCTCAGCACATTTCCTTTGCATGCATTACATGTCATGGTCTTGTTTGGGTTTAAAGCTTCATTAAAGGGGCTTATTTCGACTACAAGTCTGTGTGACAACAAAATGGCGTTCCTCAAAAGGGGGTGTGGCCAGCATCTCAGTGCGTGTTTGGTTATCATTCATAGTAAATATGGACAGGGATGTAGTGGAGAGTAAATCCACCTGCAAATCATTTACCAGCCTTTTGGTCGAGGAACAAGACTTCACTGTTATTTCAGGTTAATCTGCATTACATCCAGTGTGCTGCTGTTAATTGTAAAACATAATCCTGACATAATTATATGTGGGGGTCATAGGTTCCATTTCTGCTCCTTTAGTAGATCCCCAAGCAAAGCAAAACAAAATCACACAATTACTCATAAACAATATAAGGCAAGAAAAAAACGAGAGGGGTACGTTTTCATTAATTTTGCATTTTGAGAATAAAGTCAAAAGGTTGATAAGGCAACATGTTGAAATTAAATATAACCATGGTTTCCCTGAATCTTTTACTCTTTCTTGTATCGTGGAAATTAAAATCACTAATTTTTTCCCCCCCTTAATGTCCATAATAAAAAAAACCTCAGGTCTGCACACAGCGTCCCTTGTTAACTAATACAAACTGTAATGTAACATTTTCTTAATAACAAAGTAAAATGTTGCTTCACTAGCTGGTCAAACAAAGCATACACATATCAAGTTAACAATCCTGAAGACCTTTTAAGGCTAAATGTACTTTTCTTCAATTATGATCAGTTAAGAAACACACAAATCAAACTCTCCACCTGTAAGTTAACCCTTACAGAGGTTGAGGCTGTAATGTATTTGTTCGTTATTTAGTCAATTCAAAATGAGCCAAGATTGAGTTTTTCAAAGAAGCAGCACTAAACTGGAGTTACTTCTACATGCAATTGTAGCACAAGTTGTAAATAACATCACTTAAAATACAAAAATATTCAACACATAACAAGGGGTTGTCCTGCATGTCACTGGAAGTAGACAGAACATGTATGCACACTGGCTCCATATGCATTTCACTTTAATATAGAAATGGAAATGGAGTGTGAAACGTTTTTGTCCTACTTAGTATTGTTATGTCAAAACTAAGAAAAAACATTTGAAATCAGACAGTTGATCTTTTTACTGAACATGTCTATGAGTTCCTCTCCTGCTTTTCTTTGGCTATCAACAACACCATCAGCTGCCGTTTGTTTTTCACCTTATTTAATCCTCAATTTTTATAAATTATTCAAGCCATACAATTACAGAGCTTCACTGCAACTTTTTTTTTAACCACATAATGCAATCTTTTAACCATAACAAGTGTCATCTGAACCCGGCCTGTACAAATGATGGATATTTTGTGTGGTTCCAAGGAGGAAGTAGTTTCAGTCTTTTGGTTCATTGGGTGACTCACACTCTTAAGAGCCCACATGGTGGTGCTATAGGACAGCTCTGTTTGAAAGCCTGCAACCAGTGTTGTTGTTTTGAAAAGTGTGCAGTGTTACACACGTTCTGTATTTACAATGATGTCACACTAGTCAGTTTGTCTTCTCTTCGGGGGTTATCTGCAGAAATCCAACCCTGTTAGAGTATACTGTCGCCTTTAGAAAACATCAGAAGAGAATGCAGCTGGTAAATGTTTCGAGAAGAAATCTGGAATTATAAAATCCTTTTGTGCAACATATTTTATATTTTTATACCTGGTTCTGAATGTGGGAAACACAATGCTAAGTAAACGTTTTATATATTGTATTTATGGAATCCTTTAACTCATTATTTTTTATTCTGGAACATTTCAATTTAAAACAGAATAAAGCTTTGTAGGTCATATTAATATACGTTTCCTAATTACATATGCTAATCATCCATCTTTTCTGAGCTTTATGGCAGGAAATAAAGAAACAAATGTAATTATTAAAATGATGATTCAGAAATAATTGTTCACGTTGTGCTCCAGCATCCGTTGTTATTGCACATCTGTTGGCAGTTAGTCCAACACAACACACCATAACAAAAATGAACAGTTTCTCAAGGATGTTTTTTCTTCCATTGCTCAACGTCAATCACTTTAATATACTTTATTTAAAATGCATATTTAAAAAAGCAAGTCATACTTGAATTTTAAATGAGCAAATCTGTGTACTTTAAGTAAAACAGAATGCACTGAACACAAAACAATAGTTTTCACTATATATATATATATATATATTTGGATTTGAGTAAGTTCACAGCTCCCACAATACAAACAGGAACTGGCAACACTGAGAAAAATTCATTGTCATGCATAACCCGTAACTATGTCTCCCACACTGTGATGAGGGGAGAATTGTAATGTGTGGGAGATACATCACTTTTATTGTAGAGCTCAGATAGGCAAGTCTCGATCTATAATTGATCAAAGCCCTGAGCTGAGACCACCCACACACACACACACCCACACACACACACACACAAACACACACACACACCACACACACAACACACACACACACAACACACACACACACACACACACACACACACACACACCACACACACAACACAACACACACACACACACACACAACACACACACACACACCACACACACACACACACACACACACACACACACACACACACACACACACACACACACACACACCACACACACACACACACCACACCACACCCACACCACACAACACCACACACCACCACCACCCCACACCACACACGATGAACCATGTGGACAGCAAACATAAAAACAAAGTTTAGTCTAGGACCAAACTGGCAATATGTCATCTAAAACTATAAAATAGTATAAATATCAAATCTTACATTACAGTCAGTGACAACTGCCATGTTCTTTCCTGTCTTATGTGGATTTAAAGTTGAAGGAACTTTGAAGATTTGTCTGCCATATTTGTCCTAAAAGGCTCCAGAGAAGATATTTTCACAACAGTCAAAGAATCAGTTTCAACAGAAGCTGGGACATTTATTTTTTTGTTTTAAAAGTGCCTTTACAGTACCCCATGAGGTATACAATTTTGATGACAAGACAAGTGAGGTTTTGAATGACGGACAAAAAGGCATGGTGTAGAAGACATTATAGTCGTATGGAGTTACACACACTGAACAAACCGTTTCAGGATCTCAATTTCATGGCACAATCTAATGAGAAAACAAAATAACACACAGTGACTCCAGAAATATTGTTTAACATGATAAAATCCTCTCATTTAAAAAGAGGATTTCATTCACAGTTGTGGTCCTATTTTGCATTTTCACACGTTCCCCAACAATCGCAAAGATGTGTATCACCAAAACTACACAACGACCTTCAAAAAAACCTGAAGCATACGTGCCTACACAATCAAGCAAAACAACCCTGATGAGGTTCTAAACATCTCCACATATTGCTTTTTTTTGGTTGCATTTGTGCAAAAAAGAAAAATCTCAGTGACAATTAAAAAAAGTAAACCCATACACACCTGGGACATCACTAACTCGTGTCGTGTAAGGAGTGATATTGCACTGCTTTTTTGAAACAGAAAAGGTATTACTCTGGTGCCGGACCTCTGTCAGTACACCCAGGATACAGGCACCCACTGGGGGGTGGAGGTGGCCTGCTCCATGGCCTCCTCCACACCTTTCACGCTTTCATCCACGTCGTTGTTGACGAGAACCACATCAAAGAAGTGTCTATATGTGGCCAAAATGGCGTCAGACTCTTTCTGGATCATCAGCAGGTTTTCCGTCTACGAGGAAACACACAGAGGGTTAGCAGATGCAGGATGGTGTTAAAATGACTCGAGTGTATTCAGATAAAGATTTAGCACCTGGGCAGATGTGTTGGTCGGAGCGATGAACACCACCAGAGGTGCAAAGTCAGCCGTCCGCAAGACTTTCAAGGTCTAAATGTTGAAGAAAGGAAAAAGAGAATTTTGTTAGCATCATTTACCCTTTTACAATACCTCACCAGTTTCACAACACAGACGTCATATTATTCTTTTCATTTTGGAAGCTCAACCACAGCTCCTATTCTAATGTGTCAAAACATTTTTGTAGCTTTTTCTTTTCAATAAACAACCTACGTGGCCTTTAAAGGGTTAAAATAAGTAACATTTGGTAGGTATTATCCGGACTGATGTCGGAGCCAGAAATGTCAGTGTTGGGATTTCTGAGGTATGATTTATTTGGGTGCTTGATTGTTTATCATTTTTGCATTGGGCTTTGTTTATAATCTTATTATTTATGGATCTATTATGGGATAGATCAGTTTGGTCATATGGGTATGGGCGGCACCCATGGGTAACATAACCACCTATTCACCTGTGTGAGGTGTGTGGGCGAGAGAGTCGCTCTCTTTTTCTCAGCTCGATTATTCAGACAGTATATATGTGTGAAAATTACAATAACTTGGTGATCTTTATTAAAGTAAGCTTTTTGTTCAACGCATTTTGGATACCAGACTTCATTTGTGATGGCGTGTCTGACAAAGGCAACAAGGCCCGACTTCAGCCTCTCGGCGACAAATGTCTGTTCCTGCTGACGCTACAACTGGTGTTAAAGAAAAAAGAAAAACAATGAAAATAACGATATCTAGTATTTTTATGGTAGTTTAAGATTTTCTTCTAAGGTTACATAATATGCATTAAGGTTGGGGTTATGGACTAAATGGAAATGCATTAGAAATACATGATCTTTGTTTAATCTTTAACACATCATGAAAATAATAAAAGATACGAATTCCCCATAGTATTTAATATTTTCTTTTTACATTTTATGTAAACAAACTGGCATTAAAATAGTTAAATAAATACATAGTTTGGTAGTTATGATCAGGACTGAAGGTGGATCCATTATTTAACTATACGTTTTGTAATGGGATATTTTT